ATTGCTGAAAAAATTGCCCAACGCAGAAGTTCCTCCGTTCCTCCGGTACCGAAGTTTGTGCCAAAGCGTTCATCTGGGGCTAAGTCGGGCTCACCTTTGGAGAGGCTTGCTACTATGAAGAGTGACAAGGTGTCTCTGCCTGCTAAAATGGCGCCAAAACCTGCTTCTTCCGCTGCTGCACCCAGCTCGTCTGCTGACAAGAAGGAAACTGTTCGTTTAGGCAAGCTTGGCGAATCCTCCAAGGCTGTTTCTGGAGAATTTGTTGAGGTTTGCGCGCTTCTGAAACCAGATCTACTTGAAGACATGGATACATGTGCCAAGTTTGTTGATGGCGTCAGGGAAATTGTTGGTCCGAGTCTTTTCGCGAAGAACACCTTGGAGTATAGGAAGACTGCCTTGCTATCCATGATGCAGAAAACAACACTTCTGGCAGCCGAGTCTATACTCCTTGACCAAGAGGATACCAAGGCTGCTAAAGAAATGGCAAGAACCATGGCTGCCGAAGCTTACTCCTCTGTCGAAAAAATCAAGAAATTGGAATCTGAGCTTGCTGTTTTGAAGGGATCTAACATTCCTGCCCCCACTTCCTTGCAGCTTGAGGCCGCTCGCCAAGAGATCACGGATTTGAAGACTAGACTTGATGCGATCCAAGTAAAGTACGAAGGTGCAGAGAAGGAAATCGAGGGTTACATACCTCAAATTCAAGATCTTGAACGTTCTATCTCTGAATTCCGCTCTGCTGCTTATGCGAAGGATGAAGAATTGAATTCTCCGGTAAAGATTTCGAGACCTTCTCTATTTCTCCAGAAGACTTGCTTGCTTTTACTTTTGAGTCTTCTATCGGTGAAGTAGTTGGAGAAGTTGGTGTCCAGGCTGGGACAGCTGAGGGTAAAGCGCCGAATGATATCGCTGCTGAGAACATCAAGGCTGCTAAAGGTGTGACGACCGAGTAGTCATAAGATGTCCAAGCTATTGAAGAATAGTCTTATAGGGAGCATTTAGGATTTTCTTTGCTTTCCTCTTTCGCTTGAACTCCTTCAGTATTTGCTAGTTGTTTATCAATTTTTGCTAGAAAATTTAATAAACTTGCTTCCTTCGCTTTTCTTTATCTCCGCTTCTTTTTGTCCACGCCCTAACCTTTAGACCTTATAGACTAGTGGTAGGCGTGCTACTTTTCTATAAGCAGACAGACTTGCATAGCCTACGCAGTCGTAGGTATTGGTGTAGAACTTTGCAAAGTTGTTAGCCATTGGGTTGGCAGCCAGATGCCTTACTTACAGAAGCAGACAGGTCCGCGTAACCACTAGGCTGTTAACCTTGACTTTCTCCAATTTCGTAGGTTGTGTAGCAAGTATCACAACATTTTAGGACTTGGTGTAGGTTGTTCCGCGCTTGGCAGAAGTGAAGCTTATCGATTGCGTAGCATGTCGGCAGTGGATAAAACTTCGTATATGCGTGCTAGCTTGTTTAACCTTTCACAAGAATGTGCGGTTGTATAAGTCTAGTGCGGCTTTACTGCTCGAAGGGCAAGCCGTAGGCAGTCTTCCGGAATCCATAGGCTACCTTAGTGCACTTGGTAGCAGCTTTAGGTTTCCAGGGCAGCCGTCCGTTGGGTGTGCTGCATAATGTGCCCCCTCCGTTTCTAGGGCCCGGTTCCCTGCGGATTAGGTCAATAGACCCATAATCCTTCAGCTAGCTAAGCCTTGAAAAAGACCATTGTGGCTGCTTCTAGGAATCCCGGCGCAAGCCATCATGCACCTAGTTATACTAGGGCAACCAGGCTCATCCACGTCTGGATATTCGGAGTGTTGAGTTCATCCCCCTGCCTTGGAGAGCATAGTTGGTCCCTCGGGGGGTGCAATCTTCTTTTGAAGTGCATGAGAAGATAATTTGTTGTAAACATGTAATCGAGCCAAGTTACAAATTATTTCTAAATTATTTATTGAAAAATGAACAAAATGAGCAAATAACTTGGCTGAAAAAAACTGCATGATGATTGGATAGTCCTCGACTTACGAAGGGGCGCCCGTTGAACTGCTTGAGTCTTCGGGTCTTGATACAGCGGGAAGTCACACATGGTATTTCCTCAAATTGTAGGCATTCCATTGCTTCTCGATTTCTTTATCATTCATGGTAGCAAGAGTGTAGCTACCCTTACCGCCTACTCTGCTGATCTTGTAAGGACCTTCCCAGATGGGATCCATTTTTTTAGCCTTCTCTGCGGGCAGTAATGAAGGCCTTTCTTAGGACTAGATCTCCAGGTTGGAATTTCCGGATCTTAGCTCTTTTATTATAGCTGGAAAGGAGCTGCTGCTGGTAGGCTGCGATGTGGGTGATGGTCTGCTCGCGTTTCTCTTCTACCAAATCTAAATCTGTGGCCCTCTCTTTACTGTTCTGCTCAATGCTTGGCAGTAGAGTGTTGATGCTTGGCACGATGATGTTGGGAGGAATGATTGCTTCCGAACCAAATGCCAAAGAGAAAGGAGTTTCACCGGTTGCTCGTCTTTTGGTCATGCGATATGCCCATAGACACCCAGGGAGCTCATCTGGCCATTTTCCCTTTTTGTCGGTGATGGACTTCTTGTTGGATGCCTCGGCCTGCCCATTACCTTGAGGATACCTCGGCGTGGACATGTGTTGTTTGATGCCATATTTTTGGAACAATTTCGCCAAATCTTTTCCCACAAATTGCGGGCCATTGTCAGTGACGATGGACTGAGGGATGCCAAATCGGCAAATGATGTTCCTCCATATGAAGCGCTCTATGTCCGTCTGAGTCGTGGTCGTCATGGGTTCCGCTTCTACCCATTTGGTGAAGTAATCGACCCTACCGTAGCAGGCGGCATAGGCCCTACCAGGTCGATTGCCCATTGCATGAATGGCCAAGGACTCGTCTGTGGGTGTAGCTCACTGGCAGGTAGTGCTGGTACAGGTTTGTAGCGTTGGCAGCGGTCGCACTTTTGTACTAACTCCTTAGCATCTTGGTGCATGGTAGGCCAGTAATAGCCTGCGTTAAGAGCTTTCTGGGCTAAGGATCGGCCTCCAGAGTGATTCCCACAAACGCCTTCGTGGATTGAGCTTAGAACCTTCAAGTCATCGGGAGGTGCTAGGCAACGGAGATGTGGTCCGGTGTAGGACCTTCGAACGAGAATGCCATTCCACATATAGTAGCGTGCCGACTTGATTTGGAGTTTCCTTGGCTCCAATCTTTCGGTGGGTAGTGTGCCGTCGATCAAGTAGTCTATAATAGAACTTTGCCAAGTAGGAGTTACACTAACCTACGACACTTCGGCAATCGGCTCTATCTCTATGCTTGGCTTATCTAGATATTCCATCGGAATAGAGCGTTTAAATTGGTGGTCAAGGGCGGAGCCTAAACCAGTTAGTGCATCTACATGGGCATTGTCCGCCCGCGGAACTTGAGTGAGAGTGTAAGTCTGAAATGCTTCAAGCTGCTGGAGTACTTTCTCTAGGTATTGTGCCATCCTTGGGTGTTTTGCCGTGTATTCCCCATTAGCCTGGCTAGTGAATAATTGAGAATCAGAATGAATCGCGAGTTTCTTCACCGCTAAGTCTTTTGCCATTCGGAGGCCTGCTAGTAGAGCCTCGTACTCTGCTTCGTTATTAGATGTTTTGAAGCCTAGAGTGATCGCCTGCTCGAGCATTGAGCCGTCTGGAGTAACAAGGACTACACCTGCTTCCGAGCCTTTATAGTTGGATGCTTCGTCGACATGCAAATTCCAGAAGTCTTTATCGGATGGAGCAAGCGTGGCTGAGGTGCTCTCGGCTGCTTCCGGGGTATCGTTGGGCTGCTCTGTTGCGTCGCCTAGGCTAGGCGTGAATTCTGCTACGAAATCTGCCAAGGCTTGAGCCTTTATCGCTGTGCAAGGTTGGAAAACTATACCATATTGGCCAAGTTCCAATGCCCATTTCATTACTCGTTGAGAAGCGTCCGGACCATGTAATATTGATCGTAAAGGATACTGAGTCATGACAATGACCGTATGAGCTTGAAAGTATGGTCTAAGCTTCCGAGCCGCAACAACTAACGCCAAAATTAATTTTTCGATCTTCGGATATCTTGTTTCCTCATCAAGAAGAGCTTTAGAAGTGTAGAATACCGGCAGTTGGGCCCCCAGCTCTTCTCGTATGAGGGCAGAGCTCACCGCTACTTCGGAGACTGCAAAATAAATGTATAAATCCTCCGCTCCTTCCGGCTTGGATAGTAAGGGAGGTGATGTGAGATACTTCTTCAAGTCTTGGAAAGCTTTTTCGCACTCTTCATCCCATTTGTCCCTTTGTGCCCTATTGATAGCTTTGAAAAAAGGCTTGCATCGATCGGTGGATCGTGAGAGGAAACGGTTGAGGGCAGCTGCTTGTCCGGTCAAGCTTTGGATCTCCTTCAAAGTAGTTGGAGATTTCATCTCTAGGATTGCTCGGATTTGCTTGGGATGTGCTTCAATTCCTCGTTGGGTTACTAAGTACCCTAAGAATCGGCCTGAAGATACTCCAAATGTGCATTTGGTTGGGTTGAGCTTCATCTCGTACTTTCTAAGGATATTGAAAGTTTCTGCCAGATTGCGAATATGATCTGATCGCTGCTTGCCCTTTACCATGATATCGTCGACATAGACCTCCATGGTTACCCCAATTTGCTTTTTGAACATCATATTTACTAACCTTTGGTAAGTGGCTCCCGCGTTTTTGAGGCCAAACGGCATGACCTTGTAGCAGTAGGTGCCTCGCTCTATCACGAATGCGATTTTCTCCTTGTCAAGCTCATACATGGCTATTTGATTGTAACCGAAGTATGCGTCTAAGAAGCTAAGCAACTGGTTTCCAGAAGTTGAATCTACTAATAGATCAATCCGGGGGACAGGATAATGGTCTTTTGGGCTTGCTTTGTTGAGGTCAGTGTAATCTACGCAAACCCTCCATTTGCCCTTCTCTTTCTTCATGACTAGTATGACATTAGCAAGCCATGCTGAGTGTGCTACCTCTTATATGAACCCAGCTTCCAATAGTTTGTCGATTTCTGCCTCAATGATCGCCATTCGTTCGGGTGCAAAATGTCTTCTTTTTTGGATTACCGGTTTGGCAATAGGGTTGACGTGCAGTTTGTGGCAGGCCACCTTGGGGTCAATTCCAGGCATGTCAGATGGTGACCATGCGAAGACATCTCGGTTTTCCCTCAGGAAAATTGTGAGTTCTTCCTTCTCGCCTGGGCTTAGTCGTGAGCCAATTTTAGCCGTCTTTTCCAGCTGCTGGGGATCAAGAATGATGTCTTCAGCATCCTCTTCGGGTTTTCATCCTATTTCGTCTGCTTGGGTGCCATCTTCTCGGTCCTCCTGCTGTAATTGCTATTTGGTAGCTTCTTTGTCCTTTTGGACTTTGGTAACCTCTACGGAGGTAAAGGTCTTCTTCTTTGATTCTTTCAACATTTGCACAGTGCATCGTCGGGATGAAACCTGGTCAAACTTGATCTCTCCGACTCCTCTTCCCGGGATGCGAAATCAAATTTTTTGATACTTGACGGAAGTGACGGCATCCAGCTTGATCAACCAAGGTCTCCCAAGAATCCCATTGTAGGGAGACGGGTCGCTTACGATCGTAAATGTTTGCTTTGAGACGACTGGCGGTGTTTTTACGTCAAGTGTGATATGACCGATGGCAATTGAGGTGTGTCCGTTGAATCCAGTAAGTACCTCTGCCCGGCGTATGATTGTACTTTCTAGGCCCATCTTTTGAATGACCGAAAGTTGAAGTAGGTTGACTGCACTTCCATTGTCAACCATCATCCTGTCGACTATAGCATGGGCTAATTGGACAGATACTACTAATGCATCGTCGTGTGGGAAGTCGACTCCTTCCGCATCCTGCTCTGTGAAGCCAATGATAGGTCCAAGTTGGGTATCAACTGCTTGAACTTGTGAAATTAGTAAAGCCTGCTGGATCTTCCTCTTTTTGGAGTTATTAGTGGCCCCCAAGTGCTCGGATTCAGCGAAAATGCCATTGATTCGAATCATCTTAGTTGGTGGCTCCTCATCTCCGTCTGCATTCCTTTTTGGCTGCTCAGCTGGCTTGTCCAAATATCTATCGACTTTCCCTTCTTTTACGAGTTTCTCTAGGTAGTTCTTCCAAGTATAGCAGTTGGTGGTTGTGTGCCCAGGACCTCGGTGGAATGCGTAATATTTGGTGTGGTCCAACTTGGAAGTATCTCCTTTTGACTGTTTCGGCAACTTGAACCATGGTTCATTCTTGATGTCACGAAGGATTTGATGAATCGGAATTGAGAATTTTGAATAGTTATTGGTTATCGGGCCTTCTTTGGTCGTGGGTCGGTCCCTGCGCTTGACCTCCTGCCTGCCCTTGCTGGGTTGCTTTCTATCCTCCTTCTTTTGAGTAGATGCCAACTCTTTTCTAAGCTGTTCGGGAACCTTTTCTGCTTGTCGAGCTTCGTCCTAAAGTGCATGCTTCTCTTCCAGAGCAAAGGAATCTGCTAGAGTTAGGTCTTCTTTCATGATCATTTCTCCAAACAGTGGGTGATCTGCTGGTAGTCCTTTTTGGAAGGCTGCACTTGCAATCGAGTTATCGCATCCGATGATCTTCGCCTTCTCTGTTTTGAATCTCTTCACGTAATCGTGAAGTGACTCTTTTGGGTTTTTTTTTACGTTGAACAAGTGATCGGACTTTTTCTTGATCGAACGATAAGATGAATATTCTTTGGTGAAAACCAAGGAAAGATCATCAAAATTTCGGATGGATCGTGCCGACAAGGTATGAAACCAATCTTGTGCCTCGCCTTGTAAAGTAGTGGCGAATATTTTGCACATAAGGGCATCATTATTCCGATAGAGGACCATCGCACTTCGGTAATGTTTCAAGTGTCTTTCAGGATCCCCGTCTCCTTTGAAAGATGTGAAGTGTGGCATGCTGAACTTGCGCGGAGGCTCTGCCTGCTCGATTTCGTCCGTGAAAGGTGACCTACTTATGTTGGACATATCTCGCCTTAGTGCTTCGTCAACCATTTCGTTGCGTCGGAAATCACGCATCCGTTCATTAAAAAGCCTTTCTACCTCTTCCTGAATTTGTCTTTGTTGGGGTAGCGGAGTCTTCAACTGCCCCTGGTCTCGACCTACCGGTCTAGGCTGCTCTTCTACGCGCTCAGCTCGTCTATGTCGTGGCTGCGGTGTATGAGATGGATTCCTAGCAGGCGAAGGATTTTGCGGGCCGCCGGTTGAACTAGAATCGGACTGAACGATTGTTTCCTTCCGTTTGCCAAGCTGACTGCTCCGATGTGATGTGAATGATACTCCTTGCGGGCCTAACCGCGAATGAATACTTTGTCTGGAAGGCTGCCCATGTTGATTATCAAAGCGTGGCCCCAACCGGGAATGTATACTTGCCCTTGGGCCTAGTCGAGAGTGCACGCTCCTCCGTGCGCTAAGACGGGAGTATACGCTATCTCAGGGGCCCAATCGGGAGTGTGCACTACCTGAATGCTCCGTTTGTGGTTGGTTGAGTGGCTGCTTTCCAGGACGCTGCTTGAGAGGTTCCTCGCCTGCCCTTGTCCTACTTCGGGATACTTCATCTAGGGCACGTTGGATCTCAGTGCGTTGCAAAAGTTGATTCACCAAGGTTGTTTGTTGTGCAAGGGCACTCGTCAACTCTATGACTTATCGAGACAAGTTTTGTTCGCCATTCGGATTAGAAGAACTTGGGTGGAATGCACCTCCTTGAACAATAGAAGGGTGATTGGCTTCAAGTGCGAGATTTGAGTTGGGGAATGTCAAATCTGCGGAGAAATGTGGTGAAAATGCCCCAGCCTCGATGATTGGTCCGGATGGTTGAGATTGTCTTGGGCTGACTTGAGCAGCTTGAGAAACCTTAAGAGCAGGCTGGGCCGCAGGAGCAGGCTGGATCACGGGAGCAGGCTGGATCATGGGAGCAGGCTGGATCATGGGAACAGGCTGGATCAGTGGAGCAGGCTGGGCATGAGCAGGCTGGATCACGGGAGCAGGCTGCTCAGTGCGTGGTGCATGCGAATGCGAAGCTTGGGTTTGGGCCCGTGCAAACTTGGATGGCACGGCTTGGGCGATGGTGGAACTTCGTGGTGGTGGTGCCACTCTGCTTACGACCGTATTTTGCCTCGTGGATCTCCGTAATCCCATTTCTTGAGTATTTGAATTCTCACTTGTGGTATTTTCTAAATTTCTAGCCATTATATTTTTCTTATACGTTTTATCAAAGAACCTTTGCAAGTAAAAAATTCTAATAATAAGAACGTATGAAAAATATTCAAATGGACTAAAAAATAGAGAAAAAACCTTTTTGTGCGAGAGTCTTCTACGAGTATGGATTTCAACTCTCAATGAAAGCACCAATTTGTGGATGCAAATTTTCTCCTCTTCGATCTTGGACGAATTTGCACCTACAAAACAACTAGCACCTTAGGTTAAGGCCAAAAGCCTCACGCGCCCACGATGAATAGGGGGGGCTTTGGCCGAAGAACCTCCGATGCCAAAGTTAGAATTTTAGAGAGAAATAGTGTTTAGAGTGTTTTGGAATTTTTGCAAGAGGATTGGAATGAGCTTTTGGTGAAAATAGGAGCCTATTTATAGGATTAGGCTTCTCCATTTTCTTCAAGGAATGGCCGGCCACTCTCTCCATTTTTTGGTGAATTTGTGGTTTAATTAGCCACTTTATTGGTTAATAAAATATGATAGAAATAAATGGGGTGTTATCAAATTGAATGATTAGCTTTATTTGGGTAATAAGATGGAGAAAATCAAAAGGGTAAAGAATAAAGGGAGGAAATGTGGCCGGCTACTAGGTGGGAATTTTAGGTTTTATTTTTGGTTTAATTAGCCAATTAATTGGCTAATTAAATATGAAAGGAAATGTTATAGTAATTATGGTATTGATTGGCTAATAAAAGGGAAGAAATGGTGGGAAAAGGTAACAAAAAGGTAATGGTTTAGGTTTTGAATGGGATAGCCGGCCCTATAGTATTTTTTAGGTTCGAGTAGATGTTTCAAATTGATAATTAAGGGATTGATTATGTGATTAATCCCTTAATTAGTCAATTTTTAGGAAACATGAAAGGAAAATATTATTTAGCTAATTGATTAGCTAAATAATGGAATATAAAACATATAAAATGAATTAGGTTTTGGGAATTACCTTATAGAAAGGATTTGATGAAATAGGCTTTAAATCGTTACCTATTTTGAGCACTTTTGACTTGATTGAAAGATAATTTCCTGCTGCTAATGCATGTGTCGCCTCAAGGTATTTTTGTCCTCTTTCGTTCAAAAATCCCGGTATGCCTCAAGGTATTTTTGTCCTCTTTCGTTCAAAAATCCACGTGTCGCCTAGTGAATATTTTTGGCTCTACAGTCATCATAACTTCATTATATCTATCAGAACGAATATACTAGTACACAAAGGTATTTTGAAAAAACTTGTTTCTTATGATCTCAACTTGTCAAATTTTATATATCTACAATCTCAACTTGGCATGTGAATATAAAAATAATTCAACTTGCACATTAAGTATAAATGTATCCATCGATTTAGCATAAAATTACATCAACTTGCCTTTCTTCTAAGTTTATTTACTCATAAAAAATGTCGACTTTTCCTAAACAGTCTTTGCTCTAGATGCCTCTCTCTTTCACTCTATCTATAAATATATATTCATTAAATGTGGACAAACTTATAGTAGGTGGGCACTGGTCTATAGGGGATATACATCAAACGTAAAATAAAATTTTGAAATTATTTTTATTCCTTTTGTTGTATTATAATTTATAAGTGGTATTTTACACCAATCAATTTTAAGAAAAGAGGAAAGAGTTTAAATTCCGAAGGTGGTAAGTTAAGGACAAAAACTAGTAGCCCTTTACCACAGTGATAGAAAGATGTTGTGCCCTTGTATGACGGCGTGGGTTCAAACCCATCAATGTTAATCTAACATCTAACTTACTAATGCTATACCTGGACAAAAAAAAAAAAAAAAAAAAAAACCCATCCTGATAATTTTAATTTTTATTGTTAAGTTCTATAAATTTATTAAAATAAGAATTGAGAATTAACCGGGTCTTTGGGCATTGGATAATAGTTAAAAATTATTATTGTTAAGTCCTATAAATTTAGAGTGCTACTCTCACCACCATTCTGTCTTATTTCTACACTCACTGTTTATTAAAATTTTTAATTACCAAATTATTCTCATGTAAAATGTCATCTAAGGACTAATGGAAAACAAAATCAGATCGTTCACTTCCAACCACACTCCCAACAACTCGTAATCTCAATTCCCAAACATCTCATCTTCATTTTATTCCTTCTAAATTTTAATTTATGTTTATTGGATCCTAAATTTTGAATCTATGATTGACTCACGAATTGATCATGTTGCATTCGTCGAGTTCGTTGTAATACAAATCCCAAACGCACTGAATGCATCAAACCGTATATGGATGTCATTGGGGTTTCTTTCTCTATATGGGAAGGGGGAGGACGTGCTGGTGAACGGTGTCGAGGGTGGGCATTGGAAGGGTACTTTTGGAGATAATGGTAGGTGGGAAGATAGTAAGGTATTTTTCTTATTTTTTATGGTGAGTGAGATTATAATGTGAGTATAGAAATAAGACAATGGGATAGGCTTAGTAACATTTTAAATTTGTTAAAATAAGAATTCACCGGGTCTTTGGAATTGGATAATAGTTTTGATCTCTCAGGTCCAATCGGTTCAAATACAAGGAATAATTGCCGAATGACGATGGGCCAATGTGGCTTATTTGGCTCACAAGCTTGTATGCTTTTATTTTCAATCCTTTTAGTTGGATTTGAAGTGGACTCGAGGCGAGAACCAGTACGGCTAATCACGGAGAATCTTTCCCTAGATTCTGCCCTAGGCTTTGAGTTAACCAATAAATCTTGCAGCTCAGCCAACACGTCTAAGTAACTCTCTAAATCTTTACATGCATGCTGTCAATTAAAGTAAGAAAAGATAAGGAGATTTAAAACTTTGAATTTAATCAAAAATAAAGAAAAAGAAATAAAAACTTAACCAAAATGGGGTGGAAGGCGTACGCCAATTCGTGTTCAGTTTTAAAAATAATATCCGTATTCAGTTTCAAAAATAGCACTCGTGTTTAATTTAAGAAATAGTGATACTACTAGTATTCAGTTTATGAAATAGTGATAGTATATGTGTTTAGTTTAAAAAATAGTACAATAACTGTGTTTAGTTTCGGAATTACTTAGTTTAAAAAATATTCAGTGTTCAGTTTAAGAAATAATGAATGAGAGGAGAGAGGAATGAGGATCCTCTCCGGATCCTCTTTGTGAGGATCTCGAGGATCCTTCAATCGTATTTGTTCATCGTACGCAATCAATTTTTTTCAGGTACTATTTATATTCAATTTTAAATAAAAAAATTTACAATGCTTTTTTACCGCACGATATATGATGAATGGATACGATTGGAGGATCCCCGGGATTCTCACAAAGAGGATCTGGAGAGGATCCTCATTCATGAGAGAGTGTGTGTAATTGATGCGCGATACCTTTTCATTACATTTTTTTATTATATTAAACTTTTGTCTTTTTCATTAAAATTTAAATCTTTTTTAATTAAGTTTAAGTCATTTTCATTCAATAAAGTTATTAGGTAGTTTTGGTTAATAAAAAGTTTGGGGAAACCCTTTTCATTAAAACTCTCATTAAAGTATGTAGGGTAACCGTAATGGGCTAAGCCTTCGATCTTTAGACAGGCGTGTTTAAAGTGCGGATCAAGCGTACGGACTATCCGTGCTGACCATGATTTGATGGCCGAGAAGGGGCGAGCTCACGCGTAAAACCGCTTCTTTAGGACCCGGTGTTATCCTACACACTTTTTTGTTCATTGAGTTTTACTATATTAATTAACGGGTAGAGACGAAGAGTTTTGCATTTTACTCACGCATTGTTGTCAATAATAATTTGATATAAGGTTATGTCCCTACTGAGTTGTTAAAGTCAATCCCTCTACTATTATGCAGGTTTAAGAACAAAACAGTCGAAAACGTATGTGGGATAAGATGTGAGGCTAGAAAGTTTATTCAGTTTATTATTTTGACATTTGAAGAAATTTTTTATTCTTTTTATAAGAGGAATTTATTTTTCACCCTATCTATATATCTTTTTATTTAGAGAAAATTAGAATCTCCTGCATCTTTTCAATACTTTTTAGATCAAACATTGGTTCCATGTTAAGATTTGATTAAGTGGCCTTAAACGATAGTCACGTCAGCATTTTTATAGTTACTTAAATTGACACACCATGACCTGGGAAGGTCGAAGCATGTTGGCCATCACCGTGAGGTGATGTAACCATAAAGGTAAGTGATGTAAAAAGTGAATAAATTTAAAACGAATTAGAACTAGTTATACTAAACAGTGAAATAGCGCGCAATCGTGGGATGAACCCACTACAATTATTCAGAGCGTAATGGATAGTGAGACTACATACGAGTAGTCAAAGTAGCTAAAGTACACTTACACAACAGTGATAAGTTCGTACATCTAAACAAAAGAGAATGT